TTCTTTCTTTTAATTAAATGAGAGGCTACTTCAGCCTGGGAGATAGTATATATCAACAAGGAGGGCTTGTTTATGCTCAATTCCTCCTTTGGGAAATGGAAAAGGTCTGTTAAAAGAGCTCTAACTCTAATAAGCGGACCAGATCTTGTGACATCTCCACACTTTTGTAGGCTATGCATCCTGAAATTAGCATTTTATGGTAAAACACCTGCAAGAATATTGTGCCCAGTGATGCATGTCCTGTTACACACACACATTAGCATAGAATCCAGGGTTTAGCAAACACAGAACAAACTTACAGCATATCATGTCCGAGATTTCAAACCTAAAATCCCAAGACATTAAATTTCAAGGATGGTTGTCTTACTTTTTATGGCCATTTTCAAAAACTTTAAAGGCCTTGAACCCCCAGATTCCAAAACGTTTAAGGATTAAAAAAAAAAAAAACTATGCCTCGATTCAAAATTGGAACAATTTTATAGATTGTCAGAAGCTCCCAATGGCAAATCGGTTGTGCTAAAAATTATCTGTAGATCAAACCACGTTGAATGATTAGTGTTGTGATGTCGTAATTGAGACGTGTATGGGCATAGACGCAAAGTTTTGACAGAAGTGTGTCTTTCTAATCCTTTAACACCACCATCTTCGTCATGTTAAGCCCAACCCATACCCCAAGCTGTTTCACTAAACCTCTAAAAGTTTTTTTTTTTTTTATAAATACTTAAATCAACTTGTCAGAAAACAGCAGAGGTTGCATAAAACTGAAGGTGAGCATCTTTTTCTTCCGCCTCAATCCTTTTGCATAAACTCATTCATTGAAAGAAATGTCCTTTGAAGAATCAACCAACTGCTTTCACACAATAAGCCTTGAAAAGGTTTCGTGTTTACCGCTTGAGCTAGACTTCTGGAATGAATGTATCTTGCTAGAAGAGGGCTTCCAACAACCTCTGGGTTTTGCAGACCACCTAATGGTGTTTTTTTATGTACAGCTCGTTCAAGAGTTGACTAAGTAAATTCTGTTTGCAGATAAGAATCAGCTGCAGCAGGATGTTTGTCTTTGTTGGCTGAACGTACAAGAGATGATCTAAAAGCCTGTGCTTTGAACTGGTTAAGACTTGAGCTTTTATATCATCCAAACTAGTTTTTACCTGCCTGCTATTTGTACAAAAATAACTTTGACTAGACAAGGAATCGTTAAAGAAAATACACAAAAGGGAATGGATAGACGTGCAAGGAAGGATTAACCCTTTATAGGGCACTCAGTAAAATACTTAAAAAAAAAAAAAATCTAAACTTCAAGCCAATAGTGTTATTGGAATCCAGGACAAGACCTTATTACCTTTGTAACATAAAAAATATGGATATTTTGATGGCAAAAAATGAATGTCTGCAATAACAAAAAGACGCCAACTTGCCCGAACATATAAGAAAAATAACAAAAGTATATGAGAAATTAATGAAAAACACTCAAACTGAAAGAAACGTTTATTTTTTTTTTTGGTACAAAATAACCTTAGAGGCATTAATGCCGATACTGGCACTTAAATTTTTTAGTTTATAAACCTAAATACAATTGTTAACTAGGATTATTAACTTTTAACTTTACTTTTTAATTTTTCAATTAGCTTTTTACCTTTTTCCTTGACTTAACTTTTTTTTCCAACTTAATTTACATTAGGTAATATATATTTCATGGGCTCATCTAATTGGTCAAATGCAAAAATAAGATGTACAGCCTTGTAAGAGGATCTTTGCTGAAGGGCTGGATATCATGGATCTTGTGCTTCTAGACCTCACTGAGGGACGGGGGGTGTATACAAGTGATGAAAAATGTTGACTTTCCCTATAAAGGGTTTAGGATATACAGAAGAGGTGAAAAGGGAATAAGATGAGAAAATAAAATGCTGGTTTCAGGACAGACAGGAGAGGGGTGGAGGGAAGCGCTAGGACACAATAAGGGTAGGAACATGTGCAAAAAAAAAAAATATGGAGGGAAAAGCTGACATTCAGACAACAGGTGAAGAAATACAATTTGGAAGCATATTTTCCTCTCTGTTTTTAATGTACTTCTTCAGGCCTAAAAAACAAAAAAGTGAAGGAAAAAAAAATCAGAATTCTCCAGTTCTTGGCTTTTCACTCTAAACAGGTGCTGGAATAATAACATGCCTCGTAAACATTGTGTTTTAACATGAACATTGGATTAGTGTTTGAAGTCATGTTGGAATGGCATCCAACCAGTGGTTGGAATTGCTTAACATCGGATGTCTGCGGACGGCCTCAGGCAGAAGTGAAAGTCGTCCCTTCCAGTCGGTTTCCTTTACCCCAAGTTGAACAACAAATCTTTGTTCCTCTATGTCATGACTTTAGAACATGTGCAACAGAGGAATACTTCACCTCTGAATTTTCAGGATACGTTTGAATGTTGCAGAGTGGGCGAGTATGAAATATGACAGAAAAAAAATAAAGGTTCAAAAAGCAGTGTTCCTTTTATAGGAAAATTTTAATAGTTATTCAATGTTCTACATTTTACAGTAAATATACAATTAATACAATTACAAACTTGGCTTAGTTATAGTACTAAGATCACTAACTGATCTTAAAAAAAAAAAAAAAAAACCCTCAAACAACAACAAAAATACATTTAATAAAAAAAATTAAAAATAATAAAACAAAACAATTTACACTTCATATCACAAGCCTGACGCTGGTCCTTCACTCCGGACCAAATAGCTAACATACAATTCACTTCTCTCAACGCTGAACAGACGTTGGGCTTCAGTTTCAAACACAAACCTTACGGTAACAGAGATACCATTAGCATGTGCAAACTGGGTACCAAACTAAAAACTTCCAAAGATGGGGTTGTTCCTATTACTCGATCCGAGCGCGATACAAGTACACGTTTGTGTTTTTTTTTTCTTTTTTTTTTTCCTTTTGGAAGACAAGGAATTTTCCACTTTTTGCATCACATTTAGTGTCAAATCAAAACCAAGAGAGACCTCTGACAAGTTAAAAACAAAAATAAAAATCTGCAGCAAGAACATCAAAGACAATTAAAAGCCTACTATTCAGTTCAATAGTAGTGTTGTAATCTTCACCCATGAAAAACTAAGACCCAGAAACTGCAAGGCAGCAGGAAAAAAAAAAAGAAACAAAGCAAAGTTTAGAAGTAGGAGGAGGTAATAAATCTTTCTGGTCATATTTTCACTCTGAAAAAACAATTAACCTATTGGAAATGTAAGAACGGACCAAATGAAGGGGAGAAATGTTTAAAGATTAATGTTTAAGACTACTTTGCACACGTCCCTCCCAGAACACACCAACATGTTATCCCTTTCATTTAAGTGCAAATTGGAAAAAAAAGGTGAAAAAAAAGGAATGAAGTGAATTATATAGGCAGGCCCATTTTGGCCTTCCCTGACAAACAGGAATAATTTAAGAAATGTAGTCCTGTTTCTCAGCTCCACCTCTGTGGATCTGCCCTATAGTGTTGGCACCATGCATGTCCTGGTATTCGATGATCTCGTCAGAAACCAGCAATGAAAAAAAAGAACCCTAAAAGCAGGTATTGCATTTTCCAATTAAAACAAACTTTTTTAGTAGCCAACTTAATTCTTTTAATTTTTGCAATAAAATCACTGACAAAAATAAAAAATAAATCGATTAATTTAATTAAAAATAATTCTAGACTAGTTCAGTGACCATGTTCTGTCTTAAAGACATTTTTTGATAAGATTTGATCCAGAAAAAACGCCACCGTCTTTGCTAGATAGATTTGTAAAAACATATTTAGTCTCACTGCAGATTGTTCCAAATATTTGTTTTACCTTTGCAGTTTAGTTGTATAAACATGTAAAGTTTAAAATTCTTGCCTTTCAGTTTTAGCACCGCCATATAAAAAAAAATGACGAAAAATGTAATCATTTATAAGAATGTATAAGAAAATAAAACTATTTTCAATTACTAGCCTCTGGTGAGAAAAATGAAAATACCACAGCATGCACAGACCAGGTTGGTCCACAGCTCAGAAAACTCTTAGTGCAACAAATAAGAGACTTCATCTTCAGTCCCGTTTTGTTACCGTAGAAAAGAAGTTCTGGAAATGTCCCTAAAAGACCATTTGGATCATATAATGCCAGTGCTCAAGATACAATACCCTATTCTATGCATGATGGCTCAAAGCCTTCAACCATAAAGATGCCATTTGTTGACTTTGTCACTAGTGACATCTAGTGTTAAAAAGGGTCAGTTGATTATTAAGAATGATCAATAAGACTGCAGTTCAGGTGAGGGTGGGAAGTGTAGCAAAGGTCAAACTGACATTAATCTGCAAGAGAAATACGCTCAATCAAGTGGAAAATAAAACACTAAAGGGACAGATATTTGCATCCCCAAGGAAGTGGAAATTAAATGTCTAAAGGAGGGATGCAAAATAGCCCGGAGTAACACAGAGGATACAGAAAGAGTAGAAAGTCAGACAGGTAATAAGAGTCAACAACGCAAGAAGAAAGAAAAAGGACAGCAATAGGAAAACACAGATTCCACGGGAAGCAAGACGTAACACAGAATCAGCTCACCAATTATAAGAAAGAAGGAACTGTTAAGGACTAAATGAAAATTGGTGAAATATGGCACAGGGAAACAAAAAAAAAAAAAAGTGTGGAAGCTGAGGGTTTTTAAAGACATCATTCAAAACCTCATTTCTGCCCCCATCAGCACTACGCCCCTCAGCATGTCTGAATTCAGGCAGCAGTTTTTTTTAAAACCTGAGAAGCTGGAGCCAAACTCTACAACTTACAGACAGCGTGTTAACTTCTACCCTCAGAGTGAAAGCCATGTTTAGGACAGAGATGCAGAAGTAGAAAAAAATAAACCCAAAAGAAACATTAAATAAAATAAACAAAGCACAAACAGTAGCTGCCACATTAATGCAACCATGCTTAGCTAGAAATACATTACTGTACCACTTGCTCTTTAAATATACTGCATGTTTTTTTTTTAAACCTAAAAATCCAATGCTATTGTAAGACACCTCAATATTATGCATACCCATTATGCTCAACTGACCAATTGGAGAGAAGGAGAGAGAGAGAAAAAAAAAAAAGAAAAGCAAACGAGGATTTAATTCGGAAATACTGACAATAGTAGTGGTTGGTTAAACAATCTTAATGTAGAGTAACATCACTGCTGTCGCAAGAAAATCACGTTTTTTTTCCCCCTTCCTATTTAGTCTTATTTTAAATCTACAGAATCTAATGATGGTTAAAACTCTTCATTATTATCCACCAGATATTCAGCAAAAAGCGCATTTTCCTCCGACAGCGGCATTATGTAATATCTTCTTAAGAATTAACCTACTAGTGTACAAATATCTTGACTAATAATAATTCAAACACTCCACCTTATTGTTTTAATTATGATATAAATTGCTTCTTCCTCCATTTTGCACTACAAAGCCTAAGTACCTGTTACTTAAAATGTAATTATGATATAGTCAAGTTTTTTTTTTTCCTTTATCTTAAACGTTGTGCAATAATTCCTCACAAGGTTATTTAATACCCCAAAACGTCTGATATGTTCTTAACTTCTTTGCAGTATTAATTATTGAACGTCGCGATTTCCTATATGGATATTATTACGATAAGCGATATTTGAAAAACAAGTTGAACATTTTCAATAAAATAGTTACTGTACGCCACCAGCTGAAGTTTCTCTCTTATTTTATTGCAATAATCAAACCTCACCATCCGCATTACCAGCTGTATATGCTTCTTGTAATAATCTGTACTGTACAGGTCTTTAAGTTAAAAGATGCGATTAGGCATGGGCCGGTACAAGATCCAGAGTGAACCTTGAGTGAATTTGCACAGAAACTTATATGGAAAACATTATATAACCGCTCGTATTTAAATACAAAAAAGCAACAGTTATTCCTACAGCTGCTAAGAGATTAATTAACATTTATAACCATGTTATAAACTTTGACCATTGTATTGATACTGTAACTTGCTCCCAAATATAGAATTGGATTTTTTTTATATTTTAGAAATTTAAGATATTACGGCAGAGAATGTTCCAAATAGGGCTGCACATCTTGAATTGCAATAATCGGCGCAGTTCTAATGCTGATAATATCCTAAATTTAAAAAGAAAACGGATGCAATAATTGGTTTGCTGATATATCTTTTCCTTGATTCCTTTTCATCAAGAAAAGAAGATTTTAGTCAGCTGCAATTGATAACTTCCTAAATTGTGTAGCACTGTTTAAAAAATATTCCTGAGTGGCAAAAATTGTCTTTTGTAATCAAGACAGCCAGTGAAATGTAGCAGGCTTTCCATCCCCAGCAACAGGTGGGGAGGGGGCTCCATGCAATAAAGTTATCTAATCACTGGGGTACTTATATCTAAATAAGAGAACTTTAACCCACAGGAGTGATACAATTAGAAATGATTTATTTTTAACTTTAGCTGCTTATATCTGAATTGAGGGAACCGGCCTATGCCCAGAAGCAACTTCATCTTTTTATTCCACTTTTTTTGCTAGTATTTAATCCTGAACAAATGCCACACGCCTCATCTAAACATTAAACCCCACAATCCTTTTTTTTAACCCTCTTCACTAATCTCCTCCAGGCGAGGACAAACAAAGAGGTTTGGAAGTGAAAGCATTGCAGCCCTCTTCTATTCTACCTCCACAAAAAACATTAAAGTTAGTCTGTGGCATTCCTGTCGGAACCAAAAGGTTTCCTATCATTCAGCAGCAGTGGATCAGACCGAGGTCTATCCGTCAGTGGGTTTTACTTTATTGGCCCTTCATTAAATTCGCCTCATCGTGTTGTGTGGGTTTATTAGTCCTCGCCTGGGAAGTGGTAGGAGGAGATCACACAACCACAGCCAGAAAAGCAATCTAGTCTACATAAATAACCATGTGTCCTTCTCTTTAACCGAGAAGCGACAAAATCCTGAGGTATAAATGTTTTATACCTTGAAAGAAAAATATCCTTGCCTGTGACTGTGTTATATCCTCCTACTGCCATTTCCTAGTTTCTATAAAATCCTTTCCAAATCCCTTCTCTGATGTCTTGCAGATCACTGTGTGGTTCTCTTTTTGTTTCTTTAACCTGGAGTTACTGTACAGTAAGTGCCACTAAGAGTCTGTATCTGTTAATGTGTACCCTCCCCCCCAAAAAAATATTACTTTAAATGCACCAACCCTCCCACATTAAAGTCACTTATGTGACCCAAACTAGCTAGGTTAAGGTTCAAATGTTGTCCAGACATACCTGCCTGCATAGCGTGTAGCATGCAGTCGGCGAATCGTTTCGTTAGCGTGTACTAGGTACAATGTAATGCTGACACGACGGGTCGTGGTCTGTAAGTGCTCACAGCACCGACTAAGGTAACAGACGGGATGACGGACATACAGCTACTACCATTTGGAAGACGAGCGAGATCGGACTGAACACCCCCCCTCCCCCAAAAAAATAAAATGGGATGAAGATGTAGGTTGGAAATAATAAAAAAAAAGTAAAGCAATTGAGGTGTGTAGATTAAAGGATGTAAAAACACAAGTATTACCCCTTTAAAAGAAAAAAAAAAAGAAATATAATCTGATGATTTTTAAAACCCTGTGCTGATATCTAGTCGTTAGAAAATTTGGCAGCATTAGTCAATAGTCGCTGATAATGGTGATGATGATGCCCAATGTTTTCCGGCGGACCGAGCGGCTGCTGGCGGGAACCACACACGCACCAGCACAACACAGAAACAGGAGCGACCCAAGCAACCGACCGACACCTGTGATTGGGCGAGAGAGTCCTTTCTGGAGTTCCAATGGCAGACGCGGCAAAAAAAAGCTTAAAAAAAAACAACAACTGAGGAATTCAAATGAAACCATCAAGAGAAAGTACAAAAAATAAAAAGAGGGTAATGACTGGTTGGCAAACAAACGGAAGTGAAAAGAAAAGTAATGAAAAAAATTAAAAGCAGCCTTTGTAAAAACATTAGAGAATGTCGCATAATAATAATAGTAAAGTGGCGGTTGCACTTTAGTTTTGTTCTTGCAGACAGGTGCCGAGTTCTCATGGTTACCGCTGGGAGCTCGTGTAATATTTGAGCTGTTGCATACGATGGTGGACTCCAGATCTGCTGGGGAGAGCAGAGAACACGAGGACAGGCTGTTAGTGAGTTAAAAGGGAGAAGCAGAACAGAAACAGAAGGTGGAAGCATCTTCTCGGTGGATACTCACATGATGGGTGGGTTCTACCAGTGAGGCGGTACGTAGCTGTAACCGGGCGTCCCTTGGGGCCTGTAGGTTGGCACAGTAACTGGGTGTGCTCCTATTGGTGCATGCTGGGGCGTTGTCAGCAGGGTCCCTAAATAGATTTAACACCACCATTAATACTAAAGCATTTCTTCTGCTATACCTTCTATAAGCCTCATAGAAAAACTGAAACCAAGTTGACTTCTACTTTTAACCACAGACTTTCTTAGAATTGATGCGAATGATCAAAATGAAAAGCTACATACAGAGCTGAGCAAAAGTATTCGACTCCTTTGAACTTTTCAACCTTTTGCCACATTTCTGGCTTTAAAAATAAGGATATAAAGTTGTTATATTTTGTGAAAAAACAACAAGTGGGAGATAATCATGAAGTGGAACAAAATTTATTGAATATCTTTAGCTTTTTTTTTTTAAGAAATAAAAAAAGTGACGAGTGGGGCGTGCAAAATGAATCAGCATTTTAATTCAGCAAACTCGCTCCAGAAGTTCAGCGAGGATCTCTTAATGATCCAATGTTGACCTTGACCTGAATGATGATGAAAAAAAAACTGATAGGGACATACCGCAAGCGACTTGTAGCTATAATTGCAGAAAAAGGAGGCACTTAAAAGGATAAACTAAAGGGGGGTGAATAATTGTCTACACCGATTTTTAAAAACTTTTTATTGGTTAAAGCGTTTAAAAATAGCCCCAAAATATCATTCCACTTCATGATTGTGTGCCACTTGTTGTTGATTCTTCATAAAAAGTTTACATTTTAATTCTGTGTGAAGCCTGAAATACGGCAAAAGGTCAACAAGTTCAAGGGGGCAGAATACTTTTGCAAGGCACTGTATATTTGGGAGCATCGCAATGCAAGCATAGGTTTCAATGAAAATATTTTTTATTTTTTTTTCGGGGGGACCTGATCAAAGCTGCTGGGAAGATGGATGGAGCTATACCTGAAAACCGGCAGTACGTTCAAAAAGCCTTGAGACTCACCAACCTAAATAACACCGACTAAACCCTGCAGTTTAGTCGTACAGTGTGAGCTGTGAGCTCACAGCTTACGATTTATATTCGGCCCGATGCTGTCATGCAATCTACCTGCTCACACTTTACAACTAAAAAGCATGTCGGACTCAGCTCCGCAGTGAGATGGAGCTGCTCTGACTCGTCTATCCAGAAGCCAACCAAATAGAAGGGGAATATAAGGCTCACTATAGTGAAACGCGTTGCCTTGGCAATTTGTGTAATTTTGTGCTGTAAGTCCTAAAAAGAAAAGGAGACAACGTATTTGGAAAAAAGACATGGCTGGGCAAACGCGGCTACTACGGTCTGTCAAGTTTACAGACAGAACTGCATTTCACTCATTGCATCAGTGCCATGCTGCTGTGTTTACAGAAGAATCCTTCTTTGCACATGCGCACTGATCGATTTGCCCACGATGGTCAGGACGGTCAGGCCCACGACATGTTTGATTTTCTCCCGACCTCACAATTCCTGATTGGGAGGTGGTCATGAGAGGCTGAACGCCCCTCGTAACCCCCTGTACACTACACGACTCACGATCAGGCTGAAAGTCTGTCCGATCGAAAGAATCTTGCACGCCTGGAAAATCGCCCCGAAAATCGCACACTGTACGCCCGGCTTAAATCTGACCATTTAACCTGCCTCAGCAACAAGCAACCTACTCCAATCTCAAGGTGTTAAAAGCAGGTGGAGACAAAGGCTCATAAAATCTGATTAATCTATTACTGAAATAGTCATCAATGAACTTAGTAATTCATTAATCATTTAGTGGAGACTCTGAAACATGCCTTTAGCTGACAGAGCAAACTTAGAGCAGTGATTTTACCAAAATTGTAAAAAACTTTGTCATGCTCTAGATGCTCCAGAACTGTTCAAGTGGAATAGTTTTAGTTTAACTGGGTTTAAATTGTGTAAAAAAAAAAAATAATAATTCTTTAAGAAACGAATAATCTCTCAATAATATTTGAGAGATTTTCTATTAGCAAAAAGATTGTTAGTTACAGTCCTAGTGGAGAAACAACCCAGAAACCTACTAAATAGAACAGCATCAGAGCAGCTGAATATAAATAAATAGCAAACTTGAAATTATTTTGAGGGAATTTTAAAAAAAAAAAAAGGAAAAGGAGTTTTTCTTTTTTATAAAAGAATATAATCTACTATGTGTTCTTTGATGGTGAAGATTCTCAGTCATCCAGGTCATAGTCATTCCAAAAAAGTAAAAAAAAAAAAATATCTGCTGGACTTTGTTTCCAAGTTTGTAGATGTTTCCCTTCCCATCCAGGAAGCTTTTTCAATTAAAAATGTCAGAAATAGCATCTAGTTCGAGGCTTTATAGAATGGACCAAAAACCTAAAAAACATGCTAAATGAACCGGACGAACGGGTCCTTCCCTTTGGAATGGGGGTCGTTTGGGTTCTTCGTCAGCCTGCAATACCCAATACCTGTCTATGTCTCTGAAATGGGGGCCGTTGGAGGGAATTGTGTTTGTGGGCATTCGTGTTATGCTTTACTTTAAGTTTTGACTTTAATTTTTTTTTAATTGTTGCAGCAGCGTCTCATGTCTTGAACATCACATTTTCATGTGAAATGAGTTTTTTGTCCTACCTGCGCTCATGGCCATGGTTGTCCCAGCTACCATTCCCATGGTAGGCATGCCGTTGTTGCGAGGGGCAGGGACAGGGACCGGGGCGGGGTAAAGGGCTGTGGAGGGGATGCTGTTGGGCTGCACCACGGTAGTGTGATGGATCACATGAGGTTGAGCTGCATACACTGGTTGGGTGTAATACGCTCCCTGTCCGGGGGAAACAGACCAAGAAAAGGCTTAGATTTAGGACAGAATGTAAGGTTCATAAGAGAACAGAAGTATTTTACTAAAAGTTTTTAAAAGTGTTTACTTGAGACATGAAGCTGTGGCGGTTAATAGGTCAATAAACTAACCAACTAAAAAATCTATTTAAACGTTAACAGTTTTCAGTAAGTGACCCCTGTAAATTTCATCCTGCATGAGAAAAATAAAAAAGATAGAAATGGTTTATTAAATCCAGTCTTGTTGTAAAACATCTGATATGATTACGCATTTCTGTCTTTAAGATAAAAGAGTCTTATATTCAAACCATGGCACAGACATGCACGCCATTTTGTTTGACAAAAATTGTTTTTTTTAGTACATTGAGAAATAAAGTCCTCAAAAAACGTGCAACTTTTCACTATCATGTCCTCTGTGAGAGCCCTTACCTGTGCGTAAAGGTTCTGCTGAGGGTAGGCACTGCGGATAGGGTACATGGCTGTGGGGTACGGGGTGGGAGTGGGGGTGTAGGGGGGAGGTGCTCCATTGGACTGAGTGGGGGGCACTTTGTACGGGGTTCCCGCTGGGGTATATCCTGAAAATATCCAGAAGTAGACAAGATAAGAGAATGATGGCATTTCAAATTATCATTGTATTATACACAAATATATTATATATATATATATATATATATAATATATATATATATATATATATATATAGCATATTTTTCAAAACATGTTGTCTAGGAATGGATCTTGGAAGCAGAATAATTGCCTAGTTCTGCACGTATTTCACCCTTTTCAGCGAAGCCTGAAGCACTTCTCCAGAGAAAACAGCCACTAACTGCATCCTCAGCCCAAGCTGATAAGAGCAATAAAACCTAAAGCAGTAACTGCTGATAAGATGCAGAAACACTCTGAGGAAGCTAAAAAGGAAGTGCAGAGTCAGGTGATTACTATATCCAGCTTGTCACTGTGAGCCGACCTCTTCCTGAATATTAGCTATTGTTGCTCCTGTGACGCTGCTATCAATCAACCGAGCAACTATAAATTGAGAAACAAAAGCCTCAAAGCAGATTACAATCAAAAGCGCAAAGAAAATCCAAAAATAAATATAAACAGCAATTTCTTTCAGGGACTGTATAAGAAATAAATCACATTAAAGTCATAAAACCACTGCCCAAGGGGATATCAATTTTGCACCAGCCTGCACTTCTCCAGAAAGGTAGGAAATAACAGATTATTCTTTTGGATTTTACTCTTTATGCATTTCTTATAAAAACCACTAGATGGGGACTGGTTGTATTCATAAGGAGCTGAGCCTCATTTAGCAAAGCGAAGCCCATCTATCCTAAAAAATAAATCTCATTTAGCAGGCTTAAACTGGAGCTTTAATCAAAGCCTCCTTTTACTGAGCAGAGAAAAGAAGAAAGAAAGTGTGTAATCAGTAACTATGGCCTACATTTGGCGAATAATTCATACTGTAGAGAAACAGAGGGGGCATTAAATAGTTTTACAGTAAATCATCGCTTATAAATTACATCTCTATCTGAAAGCCTGACATTTCAGTGAAAGCGTTTGTCTCATTCGGCTTCATTCCCATGCAGTCTGCTCTCAGAGCGGGTGCAGTACCTCTGAGCAGCCACCTGGAGGAGCTTGAAGGTCAAACATGCTACTAGCTAGCTGCTGCATAGCTTATGAAAAGCCCTTCTCTCACACAAGGACAAGGGAACAAAGAGAAGCTGGAGCTGCTCTCTCTCTACCAGTGCTTGTATGTTGGAGCGTGTGTCTGCATGCCTGCTCTCACGGTCATTCATCGCTCCAGCGTGCATGCAGGGCTTTAAGGGACAATGGTGGTAGACTGTTACACAAAAGAAGGGCCGACAGAAAAAAACCCCCCAATAAAACAAACAAAAAAAAGCAGTCTGTTAATGGTCTTGAAGAATAAAAGCCCGAGGTGCGTTTCTCCACAGCTGGCTTATCTGGGACTATATTCATCTTAAAGGGACAAGAAAATGGACTATTTTAATCCCATCATAAATTAGGCCCAACAGAAAGGCGCCTGCAAGCATACATTAATACAGCAGCAGCAGATAATTTTTGTTGGACTTCTAAAAGATATAAACCAAACTAAGGGAGGGGAAGAGAGGAGGCAGCTTCAAGAGGAGCAGCAGAGGACTCTAAAAGCTGCTCCTTCCTTTGTTACAAATGAATCAAAGACAATAGGACAGCCCTGAATTCCCCTTGCTAAGGAAACAGTCTTTATTAAAAGACAAATTATCAGAAAGCATTAGCGCTGTGCTAGCACCATCTTAATTCAAAACAACCTCACAGTAAATCGATCAAAAGTCTTTTCTGATTAAGACTCTTTCCCCTCATACAATCGTGTCTGTTAATTTAAGGAAAAATCAAAATAATTCAATTAATATCCAATTCATTACTTGTGAGGATTATTCATCAAGTCTGGAAACAAACAGCACATAGTAATGCTGAGCATCACGTTTTAAAATCATGTTTTTTGTTTATTTTATAAGCATAAAAAAATCCAGTCCTAAGAGCTACTAGGGGTGT